TGTTAGAATCTGTGGTATATTTCACCTAAATATTTCATCTCTGTCCTAAAAGTCCCTCACCTCTTAATAATAGCACTTGCGATAGGGAGAAAATTTATTTTTTAACTTATTTTTCCTTAAAAGGCAATTTCATGCAATTCAATGAAAAATGAATGGAGTCAACGTCATTTATGATTTCTGGCTGGTTCGACACAAGCTTCCATTTGTCCTGTGTAGTCATCAGGAATAAAAAGACGTGACTGAGTTGAGTGCTTTCCAGAGTGAAGATTCTTCAGGGAACCCTAGTGGAGATTCCTAATCCAACTGATGGTGGTTTAAACCCATCTAGCATTATATGCTGGAGAAAGAATTGGCGATCTGCTTCCCTACAGATTCCCCCCACAATAAACAACCTTACTCCCATCGAGTTGATGTGGACTCATAGTGACCTTCTAGGACAGGGTAGAACTGATCCTGTGAGTTTCTGAGACTATACATCTCTAAGGGAGTAGAAAGTTTGGTATTTCTCACACAGAGAAACTGGTGGCTTCTAACTGGTGCCCTTCTGGTTAGCAACGTAACTGGCAACCGAGAGCCAAGAAAGCCTTGTGGGGCAGTTCCACTCTGTCACATGGGACAGTATGCTGCGCATGCAACACACATCTTTAGAGGGTTTGCCTTATTCATTATTGCTTAAGCCAAGTTTCTTTGGGTTGCAATTAAGAGAAACTAGTTTGTCAGTTAGGATTCTTCAAGATGTTTTACTAATCAAAAAGATTCCATGGTTTCTCCAAGTGAAGGAGTCTAGCAGTCAGCCCCACTTAGATATACAAGATTAGGGTGCCAGTGTTTTCTTCATGGTGTTTATGGGCCTGCCCCTATCTTTGTGCTAGCCTTATTTTCAGGATGAAATTTCTTTTTTTTTAAAATCATTTTATTAGGGCCTCATACAACTCTTATCATAATCCATACACACATCAGTTGTGTAAAGCGCATTTGTACATTCATCGCCCTCATCATTCTCAAAACATTTCCTCGCCACTTAAGCCCCCAGCATTAGGTACTCATTTTTCCCCTCCCTCCCCGCACTCACCTCCCTCAAGAGCCCTTGATAATTTATAAATTGTTATTTTGTCATATCTTGCGCTGTCTGACGTCTCCCTTCACCCACTTTTCGGTTGTCCATCCCCCAGGGAGGAGGTCACATATAGTTCCTTGTAATCGGTTCCCTCTTTACTACCCACTCTCCCTCTACCCTCCCTGTATCGCCACTCACACCACTGGTCCTGTAGGGCTCATCCTCCCTGGATTCCCTGTATTTCCAGTTCCTATCTGTACCAGTGTACCTCCTCTGGTCTAGCCAGACTTGCAAGGTAGAAATTTCTTATGGTGGTAACTGGTTTCAGTAGTTCTCACTCTCACTCCATCTCAGCTTTTAAAATGAGGAAGTGCTCTCCTCTTTACCCAAATGAGGAGTCCTGGGGGTGCTTTGGGCTGCTAATGAAAAGGTTGGCAGTTTGAAGTCGGGAGCAGATCCTCTGGAGAAAAGCGAGGCAATTTGTTTCCTAAAAGAGTTAGTGTCATGAAAACCCTATGGAACGAATCTGCATTATCTGTCAAACCCAAACTCATCACCACTGAGCCAATCACAAGTTCTCACGACTGTATAGGGTTCCCAAGGCGGTAGGTCAGGACAGGTGTACGAGGGTTGGACAGCCCACCTTTTCCCTTCCTCAGAGCAGCAGGTGGGTTTGAACCTTCAACTTTTTAGTTTGCAGTCCAACACTTACCAGACAGTGAACCAGGGACCCTTAATACAGGGTCAATCTAAGTTGAAATTGCTGCAGTGGCAATGGGTATCCTACCAAACTCTTGGACGTATCATTGATTGAGCCTCATCAGGTTATGTACCAATGTCTACTCAACAAACATTGTTGCCGCTGGAATGTCAGCTGTAAAATGGTTTGTGCTTAAAAGCAAGAGCCACTGCCATGAGTTGCTTTTGACTTGAAGGATTAGAGCAGTCCTTCCCATAGGACGTAGTAGAACTGTGCCTTAGGTTTTCTGAGACTGTTTATCTTTATGGGAACAGACAGCTTTGTCTTTCTTCCACTATGTAGCCAGTGGGCTTGAACTGCCAACCTTGTAATTAATTGCCTGATGCTGCTAACAGCAAAGTAAAGCCAACCTATGAAGCTTCTGGTTAAGTAATAACAGCCTCTAGACCAGTGGTTCTCAACCTTCCTCATGCTGTGATCCTTTCATACAGTTCCTCATGTGGTGGTGACACAACCATAAAATTATTTCTGTTGCTACTTCATCACTGTAGTTTTGCTACTGTGATGAATCTGGCAACCCCTGTGAAAGGGTTGTTCAGCCCCCCAAAGGGTTCACGACTCACAGGTTGACAACGGCTGCTCTAGACAGTGGTGGGGAGTTGAATGCATTTTGGGAATATCCCAATGCTCTTTACCCTCAAAGAACATTCTCTGTGTCTTGGTGCTCTGGAAAATTGATAACCAGTTAAGGGTATCCAGTCTTTCTTGAAATATGGGACTTTTTGTTTCTTCTTATTTGCATCTGCTTTACCCTTCTTTCTAGATATTCCTTTTTCTAAGGAGCCCTGGTGGCACTGTGAGATAAGCACTAGACCGCTAACCACAAAGTTTGCAGTTCAAATCCTCCAGCTGCTCAGCAGGAGGAAGAGAGAGGAGACCCTCCGTGCCTGCAAAGATTTGTAGTCTTGGAAACCCGAAGCAGCAGTTCTGCTCTGTCTTATAGGTGTGTCGCTATGAACTGGATACAACTCCATGAGAGATGGTTGGGTTTCATTCTTCTTTCTCTGCGATCCTCTCCCCCCCTCCCCCAGCCCAATTCTTTGACCAAAGCGGTATGCATACATGTTATGTGATAACTAAAGTTTAATTAGAATGGTTTGTAGGATTTTTATGTCAAAAGAGTCTACAATTAAAAGCATTTGTTCACATCTCAGCTTTTACATTTAGGATCATATTCTTTGGTTTATGGAGTCTTGAAGGAAGATCAATATGCGTAGAATGTTTCTTTTAATTGACTTCCTTGTGTGTGTATGTTGCCTAATGACTTGTGAACAGGGAGACAGGATATTTGTATTGACTGGGTATCAAGAATAATGTGACCCTTTACGTCAGAATAAGTCAGAATAGAACTACTCCTTAGAGTTTCCAAGACCTGTGCAGGCAGCCACGCTGCCCACTTGGGGAGCAGCCAGCCCTTAAGTTTGAATTGCTGACCTTGTGATTAGCAGCTGTCATGGTAGCATCAGGACTCATTTTTTAACCAGCAGTCAAATAATGAATTTATTTGCCAAAATTCACATCCTAAGCTTGGTTATAAAAAACATACACATAGATTCATTAAATATGTATCTTAACTTTACTTGAATGTTTTAGGATATATTCTATTTTAAGTAAAGACTAAAATCTTTAAGTGAAGACTCTTCAAATCAATCAACAACATTATATTTAATGATACAATCTATTAATTGCCCCAGAATTGGTCAACATTTATATGGTTTTTCCCCTGTATGCTCCTCATCAAAATTGCCTTTTTAAAACATTAAAAGCTCTTCATTGGTTAGGTGATATAAATAAAGCTTTTGTGATCGGCACCTTGCTAAGATAAATAATGATCACTTCAATAGAAGTAGAACTTAATAACTCAAATTAACTAAAATAATGTGTTACCTCTATTTTTAGGAACATTCATTGAAAGTAGGCTCTGATATCAGTGATTTTCAAGTAGAGAATTTTGAGTTTGTTGTTGTTTGATAGTAATTACAGCTCAGGCTTTCTATAGATCAGTCTAAAAATGACATTTTTCCTTGAGTAGCAATGAGAAAGCTCTCTAGTTTGCTGTTACCAGGTACTGCTAAATCAGTCCCTTCTCATAAAGACCCTTTGTATCACAGCAGAGGAGCACTGGTGACATCGTGGGCTGTGCTTTGGGCTCCTAACTGAAAGATCATCTGCCGTGTGAAACCACTCTATGTGAGAGAAAGAGGAGGCTTATTCCTCCTGGATAAGTGTTTCACATTGTGTTAATCCAGGTAGACTAGAGAAACAAATCCAGGGAGACTCATATGTAAACAAGAAAGAACTTTATATACAAGAGCAATTGAATATTGAGAAAATGGCCCAGTTCAGTCCTGAAGTCCAATATTAGCCCATATGTCCGATACCAATTTATAAAGTCCTTTTCAGGCTCACGAAACATATGAAATGATGTTGAATGCAGGAAGCTCACAGGCCAGTGGGTGGAAAGTCTTGTGGATCCAGTGGTGGTGTAAGCATCTAAGTGCTGGCAGGGGTCTCTACTGGCTCCTCCAGCTCAGGGCCTGAACTTAGCTCCATGTGTCTTGGAATGTCTCCCAGGGAATGTCTGTTTTCTGCCTCCAGTAACCTATTTATCTCCTTAACGACTCCAAATGAGGTCACCAAGCTGCAACCTGATTGACAGGTTAAACTCCACCCCTTCACTCTTAAGTTGCAACTTGTTAACAGGTTATGTAACTATCACACACATCTTCAGTATTCATTGTAATTCTTCTTCTATGTCTGCTAAGGTCTTTTGAAATTTCTGCACTGTTGAAAATTCACCTCCTAAACCATCGCAATGGCTTGTTTGCTGAACTGCACTTTTTTACTTGATAAAAATTCCTTGCACAAAATGTTTTTTCTTAATAAAAAAACAAGTATATGTTGGGGAATGTTGCCTTTAGCCTCTATTAATAACATAGTCACTGCTGCTTCCCAGGCTTCCGCTCCTCCATCACAGTCAACATAGAGCAGGGGTACAAGGCGGTAAGATGTGGCACTATGATGGCCCTAACAGATTTTCTTGTGGTCACATTTGGCTATTGTGGCAAATACTAGCATTGATCATTTTAATATAAATGTGTTTGAGTATGTGTTTTAGAATCGTAGGAATTATAAAGTCAATGTGTCCTTGTTTGATATCCATTATTTTCTTTATTATTATAGGAGGACACAGATCACAATTACTACATATCTCGGATATACGGTCCATCTGATTCTGCCAGCCGGGAACTGTGGGTGAACATAGACCAAATGGAAAAAGACAAAGTGAAGATTCATGGAATATTGTCTAATACTCATCGGCAAGCTGCGGTAAGAGTTTCAATAATCTGGATTTATTTTATTTTCCACTATGAAAAAGGCCATGGCTTTAATTGGTAGATCCACAATGTTTGTTCTGATCACTTTTCAAGTATATTTAGTTTTGCAGTTCCAATTTAGATTAATAATTACTATAGGTTATTAATGGAAATGAAACATGGAGTTGTTTATAAAGCCACCATTACTTTTACAAATTTCGTAGCAAATTTGATTAGTTGCATCCTTGAATACAAAGTTGAGATTTATCATGGATGATTGTCAATTATATCCTAACTCACTATTTATAGAACATTAAAGAAACTTACATTAATTTGGTTTCTTCCATTTTATATAAGTTCATTGTTCTTGGTCTAAAAAAGATTTAAGCATGATAAGTAATCTGGAGGAGAAGACAACGGGACTGATAGTTCCTGGGGGGACACGAGATAGGGGGAGGCGGGAGAAAGAAAGTGGGTGTTAGCAAAGCCAGGGACAAGGGAACAACAAGTGATCTAAACTGAAAGGTGAGGAAGGTGGAGGAGGCCTGGTAGGGTTTGTTCAAGGGCAACGTTACTGAGAGGAATTACTGAAACCCAAATGAAGGCTGAACATGAAAGTGGGACAAGAGGAGAATAAAAGGAAATAGAAGAAAGAACCAGGAGGTAAAGGGCATTTATAGAGGTCTAAATACAGGCATGTACATATGGAAACATATTTGTAACGAGAGGGGACTAGAACTATGTATTCATATCTATATGTTAAGAATTAAGGTTGCAGATGGACATTGGGCCTCTACTCATGTACTCCCTCAACGCAAGAGCACTTTGTTTTATTGACCTGGCATTCCATGATGCTCACCTTCCCCGACACAATCTCTGAAGACAAAGTGGGTGCATAAGCAAATTTGGTGAAGAAAGCTGATGGTGCCTGGCTACCGAAAGATATAGTGTCTGGGGTCTTAAAGGCTTGAAGATAAACAAGCGGCCATCTAGCTGAGAAGAAACAAAGCCCACATAAAAGAAGCACAACAGCCTGTGTGATCATGAGGTGTTGATAGGATCAGGCATCAGGCATCAAAGACCCAGAACAAAAATCATATGATTGTGAATGAGAGGGAGTGCCGAGTATAGACCCAAAGCCCATATGTAAGCAATTGGATATCCCCTTACAGAAGGATTGCAGGGAGGAGACAAGACAGGCAGGGTGCAGTATAGCACCGATGAAACATAAAACTTTCTTCTAGTTCTTTAATGCTCCCCACCTCCCATCCCCACTATCATGACTGCAATTCTGTCTTATAAATCTGGCTAGACCAGAGCATGTACACCAGTACAGATAAGAGCTGGAAGCACAGGGAATCCAGAACAGATCAACCCCTGAGAGTAGTGATACCAGGAGGGTAAGGGGACGGTGGGGGCAAAAGGGGGAATGAGTCACAATGATCTACCTATAGCCCCCACCCAGGGGGATGGACAACAGAAAAGTTGGTAAAGGGAGACATCAGTCCGTATAAGACATGAAAAAATAATAATAATTTATAAATTACCCAGGGTTCATGAGGGAGGGTGAAGAAGGGAGGATAAAAATGAGGAGCTGATACCAAGTCCTCAAGTAGAAAGAAAATATTTTGAAAATGATGATGGCCACAAATGTGCTTGACACAATGGATGGATGGATGGCTTGTGATAAGAGTTGTACGAGCCCCGAATAAAATTACTTCTTAAAATAAAAAATTTTTTAAAGATTTAACCAAAAAATTTATGATTCAGATAGCATGATGATAACAAAAAAGCATAATTAAGTTTATTAGCATTAACAAGTTTTATTGTGTGAGAAGACATTTGAGGTGTTAAGAAGCACCCCAACATAAAAAAGGTGAGAGGGCTTGAGTTTACAAAGATACATTCCCAAACTCATAAAACTGACTCCCATCAGAGTAGACCTTTTTAAATTTAGAGGAGTAAATGTGGCTATCCTTTATTTGACTGGTTAATTACATTTATCTTTTGTTTTGGTTAAGTTGGCCCCTGAATGCTAAGCCTTTTATCTTAATGGATGAGTGTTGTTGACTCAGACTGATAAGCACTCTTCATTCATGCTTTGTGGTGGGTAGTGGTGGGGGGAGTGAGGGGCATGTTGTTGAACTGGGATCAGAAAAGTTGTTTACATTTTTACCTAGTTATAAAGTTGTTATTTCTTATAAATGACCTTATGACTAAATTTTATTTCATTCTTGGCCCTGGTAAACCATTTAACTTGTCCTTTTAAAAAATTGAATACATAATGTCGTAAGCTAAATGTTGAATGACCACTATTACCCCCAAAGTTCCAATTTAAAGTCTTTATTAACCCTCGCCAGTGACTACAAGATGACTAGATGTTTCTCACCCCCTAGCAGCCCCTCACTGTTGTAAGGGGTCAACTTATAAAGGTAGAAACCATGGCTGGAAGACTTAAGGGGTAGGGCTGGGTTTTCCCACAGAGCTGTGCAAGCACTCTACAGAAGCTATACAAATAAGCTTTCATTTACATGCACTGTGTGGGGCATTTTCTGGGCACAGTCAACGTTGTGAAGGATTTTCTGATCACACAGAACATTCTGACAGATATTCTGAGCACACAGTACCTGACGTTTTTCCACATTTTTTAATAATACCAGGTTTGTTAGCATGAAATCAGCCTTCTTTTCCTAGAGCAGTACACAATTTTCCTTGTTTTAAGGAGAGCAAATCTAAACCCCTGTGATTTTGCAAAACCACTTAGGCTAAAGATTTTACTTGGTCAGAAAGCTGGTTCATAGTTCATTCTAAATGACTATATCTAAATTGATCTGATCCTCCTGGACAGCTCTTTAAATTTAGAATCACTGGTTATTAAGGCAGCTACTCCTGTTGCCATAGATCTGGCTAATCCTAATCCATCTGTCTATTTTAGGGGGGCTTACACACAAAATTTACAGTATTAAGAAACCCAAGAGAGTCTCAGTTTAAGGGGTCTTCTGTGAAAGAATGAGCTTTCCATTATGTGTCAGTGTGGGGCAGCCTTGAGGCAGCAAGTCCATCTACCTTGACCATAGTCGAAGTTGTGAGTGTGACTGTGAAGGGCCCTTTCCTAGGGGACAGTCACCAATTGTAATGGGTGCACAGGTAGGCTGCTGGTTAGTGGTTTGTACTACTTATCTTCAAGGATCTGTGGAGTTGGTGATAGACAATCTGTAAGGTTTGCAGGGACTTAAGCAAATTATGATTATGAATCTCTGCCTGCAGGTGCACTTGGAATAATGAAGGGGTCAGTGTCGGGTCAACGTGACACCTTTACACAACTCTTTAGCCATATATATGATTTTTAAAACAAGGGCAATAATAAAATCATATTTGTGTCTAACAGGATAAAACTAAAATGCATACAACTTGAAATGTACCAGCCTTATTTAAACATAATAATCTATAAGTGAGCAAAACAAAAAAATTCTATACTTAACAATTGTAGTTATGTGAATACCTACACCAGAATCCTATAGTCCTGTCAATATGTTTCTCCACCTATGAAAGTTTGTGAGCCAGCTACTTCATGCCTTTATCCCCTAATTTTGGGTATCCAATTTCTATACTACCCATTTATATCAACCTAGTGCTCTTTGGAGACAAACATGGTCTTTGATGTGAAGAATCTTCATTCCACATGAAACCTTGTGGCTTGGCATCCATAAGGAAAGTCAAATTGGGGCAGGCCATTCATAAAGTCAGCACCAATAAGCATCAATTCATGGGCTCAAAAATCCTATCTGCATCTGGTTGGGTTCTGGTCAACTTAACATTGACCACCTCACTTAGCTTCATCAGGCTGCCCATTGGCATCCTCTCCTTTTGACCATGGACCCTGTTATAAGTTCTCAGCATCCCTATCTCTTGGGGCTAAGTCATGGACTTCAGACCAGCCAACCTGCTTTTGTCTTCTCCTTTAGTCCCTGTACACCAAGTCCATGGGTAACAGTGGCCCGACTTAGCCTGTCTCTTTATTACTGCATTTTCTCCACTTCCACTCAATAACTGGATCCAGGTGGTCACCTGGCAAGCATTTGAGGCTGCAAGGAGGCTCCCTTTAATGTATCGTGCTAGAGAGGAGTGTTTCCTTATGGCTTCAAATTTTTTTAGCTACAGGCACAAGCCACTATTTCAAAATTCAAAAAGCCAAAGAATGCCCTTTTTTCCTTTTTTTTTTTTTTTCAGTCTACCAACAGCCCCCCAGACAAGTCTCTTCAGAATCCAAGGTCCTGAGCACTTAAGACCCTGACTGGGTGGGGCTTAATTTTTCAGAGCCTTCCTTGCAGGTATGCCCTACACTAATTTAAAGATTCAATTTAATTGTAAAGGCAAGTAGGCATACAAACTCTCTATTTTTACTTCCTAGTAATTATTTCTATAAGTATTATAGCAATAACAGCTACAAGAAAACAGTATAAACCCAGTACAGCCCAATCCTAAACTATTTCATGGATGTGAAATATGGCCTTAGACTTCTGGCTGTATCAAGCCAAGGCAGGGCCTACCATCAGCCATTTTGACCAGGCAGTGTGGGCGAGTTTCAAGGTAACTTTTTGCCGCTTAAGCTTAAACTGTACATTTAGTACATTTATTTTTTCCATTTTAAACAGGAATAACAAAAGACAACAACCAAGGAACAGTGGGTGTCCTGGCATATTTTCTTTGACTCTAACCCTGGGAAGGGCAGGGTATGCAACCTTTGCATTAACTTATGTGCATGCTGGCATCTGGAGGTGACACTAAAAACTATCTGATTTAAATGAGGAATGTAACACCTGTTTGGAGCAAGTGCACCAATTTAGACTGCCCCAGATGGGAGAATCGTGCTACTCAGCCACAAGAGTGCAACCTAGAGCCTCTGGTATTAATGTTCATTCATCAGGGAGCATCCCCCAACCTGTAGGGAGTATCCCCCAACCTGTAAAGTCTTTTGGGCCTTTAGTTGTTTTGCCATGCTCACTTCCTCCT